ATTTTCTTTTTTTTCCCCCCAAAGCCCCAGTAGATAGTTGTATGTCATAGTTGCACATCCTTCTAGTTGCTGTATGTGGGACGTGGCCTCAGCATGGCCTGACAAGCGGTGCGTCAGTGTGCGCCCAGGATCTGAACCTTTGCCGCCAGTAGCGGAGCGCGCGCACTTAACCGCTAAGCCACGGGGCCGGCCGCCTTGGGGAGGTTTTTGATTACCCTTTCTGGTAATTACCTCCTTACTGGTGATTGGTCTATTCAAATTCTCTATTTCTTCTTGATTCAGTTTTGGAAGGTTGTATGATCATAAGAATTTATCAATTTCTTTCTTCTAGATTATCCAGTTTGTTGGCATATAGCTTTTCATAGTAGTCTCTTATACCTTTTGTATTTATACCTTTTGTATTTATACAAGGGTAAAGCACACGATCACATCGGAGAGCTGGCACTGGGTCCCGGAGATGTCTGTTGTAATTTCTCCTCTTTCATTTCTGATTTTACTCATATGAACCTTCTCTCTTTTTTTCTTGGTGAGTCTGGCTAAAAGTTTGTCAATTTTGAGTATCTTTTCAAAGAACCAATTCTTTCATTAATTTTTTCAATTGTTTCTTCAGTCTCTGCTTCATTTATTTCTGTTCTGATTTTTATTATTTCCCTCCTACTGATTTTGGGATGTGTTTGGTCTTCTTTTTCCAGTTCCTTTAGGTGCAGTGTTAGATTGTTTATTTGAGATAGGCCTGTATTGTTATAAACTTCCCTTTGCTGTATCTCATAAATTCTGGCATGTCGTATTTTCATTTTCATTTATCTCCAGGTGATTTTTGATTTCGCCTTTGATTTCTTCACAGACCCAATCGTTGCTCAGTAGCATTTTGTTTAGTCTCCACTTATTTGTGGCTTTCTTATTTCCTTCCTGTAGTTGATTTCTAGTTTCCTACCATTGTGGTCAGAAAAGATGTTTGGTATTATTTCAATCTTCTTAAATTTATGGAGACTTGTTTTGTGGCCTAATATGTGATCAATCCTGGAGAATGTTCCATGTGCATTTGAAAAGACCGTATGTTCTTCGGTTTTTGGATGGAACTTTTGGTATGTATCTACTAAATCCGTATGACCTAGTGTATCATTTAAGGCCAATGTTTCCTTATTGATCTTCTGTTTGGGTGATCTATCCATTGGTGTAAATGGAGTGTTAAAAGCCCCCCTACTATTATTATGTTTCTATTTCTCCTTTTATGTCTGTTTATAATTGCTTTATAAATTTAGGTGCACCTACATTGGGTGCATGGATATTTACAAGTGTTATATCCTCTTGTTGGATTGTTCCCTTGAGCATTATGTAGTGCCCTTCTTTGCCTCTTTTTACAATTTTTGTTTTAAAGTCTATTTTGTCTGATATGAGTATTGCCACCCCAGCTTTCTTTTTATTGCCATTTGTGTGGAGTATCTTTTTCCATCCCTTCAGTTTCAGTTTGGAGTGCCTTTAGGTCTGAAGTGTGTCTCTTGTATGCAGCATATATATGGGTCTTGTTTTTTATCCAACCAGCCACTCTATGCCTTTTAATTGGAGCATTTAGCCCAGTAGGTATTTTACGCTTACAGAGCATCTCCATTTGGACCAGCTATATTTTGAGGGCTCAACAGCCACGTGTGACTGGTGACTACTGGATTAGGCAGGGCAGCTGTAAACCTTTCCCTGGATAAATAATCAGAGGTGTGGACAAAGGAAGAACCAAAGATGTTTGTCTCAGAATTGCTTGTAATTGAAAATTGGAAGGATCCTGAACTATCCAATATTGAAACATTCCACACAAATGCCAGCTCCATAGGCAGGGTGTTGGGGGATTTTTGTCTGTTTTGTTCATCCTCGTGCTCCTAGTGCCCAGAACAATGCTTGGCACATAGTTTGTGCTCAATAAATATTTTTAGCTGAATCAGTGAGTACACACACACACACACACACACACACA